TAACAGCATCCTTTTAGGTCCTAAAGCGCCTATCTAAATCGCCAGCAAAAAGGAGAATGCTTTCACCTGCAAAAAGAAGAGTGTTATCACCAGCGAAGGTATCGCCAAAAATGTCACCGGCAAAGAAACCAAGCTTGAGAAGGACACCATCTGTGCGAGCTTCTACACCTAAAACACCTGCAATCACAAGCGAAGCCTCTAATGTGAAACCATCCGAAACTGCTCCGAAATCGACATTGGCCAAAACGCCAATGTTTACAGCAGCAACTTCAGACTTACGCTCATCTCGTAGTTTCGATAGAAGACCTTATACATCAACACCGTCGGAGCCTATGATGCATCAACGATATCTACGACACGAGAGCTCCAGTCCAACACCTATTAAGGTAAGATAGGCGTAATTTACGAAACGCAATGCATTCAGCGAAACTATAAGTGACTAATCTGATATAATAGTAATAAAATTATTGACCGTATGCCTCTGAAGGCATTTTATACTTTCACAAGTTATAGTAGCCAATAACATTCACAAGAATGGAAAACGGTGGTTTGTTTGCCTACCATTTAGTAGGCGAACCAGTTAGGAGCGAGCTTGCTCGAATACTGAAAACAACTGCGTAGACAAAGGGGAAAACCTTTGGGGAATCCTGAGTGTCTCGCAATCTTAATATTAAACTTTGATATCACCTACATACAACTATATAGTTTCTACTTCTAATAACAAAAAAATAATATTGTGTTGTAAATGCAGCTGTCTGCATAACAGATATTATGGCCCTTGGGCTTTTGATTTAGATAAAGGACAGATAAAATGCACAAAATTCTAGAAAAATCTATTCTTTTATGCTTACATATTCTCTTAGTAAATCTTTGAGTTTTTAAATTTCATCTTTACAAAGAGAAATCATGCGTATTTATTTCAGGCTCTTTTCAATCATCCTTTATTTGTTTAGAACTCTCCAAATCTACACAAATTTGTACTTTAGAAGTACGAAACAAATGCGCTGGGTCATAATGTGTAAGCAAAGAGTTTT